AGGGCAAGATATGATAAAATACCAATTTATAAACTATCAAGGGCTCATGAAGGAGGGGGAGCGGGGAGGGAGGGAGAAAAATGAGGAGCTGATGCCAGGGGCTTAGGTAGAGAGCAAATGTTTTGAGAATGATGAGGGCAATGAATGTACAAATGTGCTTTATACAATTGATGTATATATGGATTGTGATCAGAGTTGTATGAGCCCCTAATGAAACGATTTTTTTTAAATGGCTATTTTTCATAATGCAACCATAAATTAAAATGCTACTTGACTCACTTGTTACTGGCTTTTCCATACAGAAAATCATTCTAGGGGCATAGTGGTGGCACAGTGGGCTGCAAGTTGGGCTGGGACTGGTCGCAAGGTTTGAAGCCCCTAGCCCCTCCACAGGAGAAAGGTGAGGCTTTGTATATTTAGATGATCAGAAACCTACCAATCGGTTCTGCTCTATGCTGTGGGGTCGCCATGAGTCAGAATACACTCAAGGGCACTAAGTGAAGGGTTAGTACATACACGCAGTTTTAAGGTCTCAAATAGTCCCCCTCCCAATAGAATTATTTCTCCTGCCGACACATTCTATCAGGCAATAAAATGTTGCTGTGTCTGTTTTGCAAACAAGAAAATTCATTTAAAGAGAGCTACTTCCTAACAGCTGTGCCTACTTTAATTCTAGCATATCAAAAAGAAATAATTACCCGTGGCAGATTTGGGGCTGTCGACAATTCTCTCTACTGGCTCGGAACTCTCACTTTGACAGGTACTAGAATACTTATAAAATTTTAAGTAATCCCTAGTGTATACTTTTCTTTTCCATAAAAGTATGATCATTATAAATTTCTGCTCCACTGTGTGTGTTGCAATACTCCAAAGGCAATGTCTTATAATACTATCTTCATAAGGTTGAAACTCTTATTAATGTCACAAGTGTATGATGAGGAATTTTTTGTTTATGTTGATATTTGAACATTTCAGTAAAAATAGTTCCTATGACTAAAGGCTAATGAATACCAGTATTGTCAACCCAAGGCAAATAACCAGCCCTTCTAACGGCCCCAGAATTTTAAAATTCTAGGAATTAAGCACTTACAAAGAACTGTTTGGAGAGAATGGCTGGAGAAGGTATTCATCAAACCCAGGAGCCAAAGGAATCCTGGGATGAAAAGGTAAGGCTGCCACCACCACCACCTATGTCCCAATCCAGTCTCTGGCAGAGGGGCAGAGACCAAATCAGCTCAGGGTCCTCTTCTTCTTACGGGGCCACTGCCACCTAAGCTAGCTCACTCCCTCACTGCCAAGGCACACTTCTCAGGGAGGCCTACCTTGACAACACTATTTAAAAATACAAACCAGCACCCTAAGTTCCCAAACTCACTTATAACATTCTATTTCTTTTCTATTGAACTTACCTCCTAAAATCTTAGTTCTCTTATTTTATTGTCCATCTCCCTATACTGCCATCCTCTGCCTATCTCCCCACAGTGTAAGCCCTACAAGGGCCAAGATTTTTGTCTTATCTGGTTCATTGAGAAACCCTTGGGATACTTAGTGCCTCGTAGGCACTTAGGGAATATTTGGGGAATGAGGCATGAATGAGTGGACAAATGAGTGAATGAATACACACAACCATGCACAAAATGAATAGACCCAAAGTCATATACGTTCTTGTTCCCATGGGATACTGGGTCAGACTAAGCCTGATTTTAATTAGCCAAGAGGTCACACAGATAAATGGACACATGGGGTTGCGGATTGACTGAGCTTCCCCCGTGAATGCCGCCATCAGTAACACAGCATTACCTGCACCGTCCGATAGAGCACAAAGCAATGGGATCACCCACTACAGCCACCAGGGATTGTGCTCTTGTGATGGCAGTGTTGAGAAGCTTGTAGTTAGATAAAAAACCATAGTCTAGGTCCTCCGTAGAATCTTCCAGCAGTTGCTCTTTCTTTTTAATTGGTGTCTGCTTGTGTTTACAAGTATGCCTTGTACGTACTGTGCTAAGAAACAAAACTCTGAATTGCTTTCCTATTTAAAAAACGAAAACAAAGACAAGATGGTCATTCTACACCACTGGCACAACAAAAGAAAGCATTGCATTTTAAAACATGTCATCCCCAAAAGTAACCTGAGAGGTGACCTAACCCAAGGTCTCATCCAAGACAGTGTCCCTTTCCTTGAAGCAGCCATCTAGCCTCTGGCCATCCAGGGCAGACACAGCTGATTCCATAGGGAAACCTTAGGAAGAGTATAGGAGGTACAACATTTTTCTAATCTCTTATTCTAAGACAAGCTTCCAAATATTTGAAAAGCGCATTAATACCATTAGACTACTCATTTCTAAGCCAAACAGCCCTAGTGCCTTCGGACATTCCCGGCTCCCATCTGGCAGTCTCTGTTAGCTGCCCTCCGTATCCTTTGGGTGCTTTCTAGTTACTACCAATGTTCCTCCTAAAAGGAACCACCTTCTGAGTGATCTGGACAGCACACCAGTCTGGGTGACCTGGATAGCAGGGCTGGTCTTTATTCCTGGATCTGGATATTGCACATGACCGAGAAAACTAAGGTGGCGTTGAGCTCTCACAAGATAGTGTTTAATGCACATATATTTAATAGCACAAATTTTATAGCAGTTAATTAACGGTAAAAAAATCATTTCAAAGAGCTGCTGGTGACTATTCACTCAAGGAGCACACGTGTTGGCATTGACTGGACAGCAAAAGGATGGATAAAATTCACAAACTGCACCGGTAAAAATGCACTTGTACAGAACTGACATAGCAGTGAAAGTTTAAACATTATGGTTATGAACAAATCAGTTCTCATGCACAACAACCGTTTATGTGGCACGCTCTGTAACGATAACTAAATTGTGTGGATACAGTGTGACATTTATACAATTATTAAAAAGTCCATTTGTTTAGATTTCCTTCATCTGGATATAAGATCTCAATAAAAATGTAAATGACCTTGACCTTTAATCACACAATTAGCATTAAAGCGTTTTCTATGAAATGGATACACAACTGCTTGCCCAGAAAAAAAGATCCTGAGAATTAAAAATCAAACTTAAATACATTATAAGATGTAAGCATTTAAAATTACTTCATTCATTTCAATTAATGCTTACCTTGAACATTTAGCACCCTTTCTACGTTGACATCAGATAAGCGCTTTTTCCGAAGCTCGGCACGTATCCTGAACACTTGATCAGCGTACGGGGTCACCACGCCAATACTGCCGTCGTCTAACTTCCCCCAGGCTACTGGCCACTTCCTTCTTAACTCTTCTACGCGTTCCACCACTTCAAATACCTTCAAACAAACACAAACATGGACTAAAGTGAACGCCAGGGTTTGAAGGAAACATGGGAACTGAAAGGGACTCACCTGGGATCCCAAGTCAGCAAATGTCATTTTCAAAACTATGTGGGGATTCAAAAAGCGTGAGTGAAAATTCTATGGCATTTTCCCATGATTGTTTTGAAGGCCACTCAGACTTTTAAATAAGAATAATCTATGCAAATGTGATCATGATTTTACTTACATTGTGAACAGTGAAAGCCCATGATAAAGCACCCAATAGAAACATGAAAATCAGACAATGTAGTTGGCCAGTGACAGGAAAGGGCTCAAGTTCCCATGGGGACCTGATGCCAGGGCTTAAGTGGAGAGCAAATGTTCTGAGAATGATGAGGGCAATGAATGTACAAATGTGCTTTACACAACTGATATATGTATGGATTGTGATTAAGAGTTGTATGAGCCCCTAATAAAATGATTTTTTTTTAAAAGTTCCTATGGTGAAGGGAAGGCAAGAACAAACCAGGAAACTGGCAATCCTACCCACAGAGGCGAGTCCCCACATCCTCAGGATTCCCCACACCAGGCCAATAAAACTACCTTCCTACACAGAGAGTCCCAGGATCACTGCTGCACAAAATCTAGTACTGCCTGCAACCCCCACCCACCTCATCCCACGGACATAGCTAAGGAGTCAGTCAGCAAACCATAGCTGGGGCCAGAGAAACAGACTTCCCAAACTCCCAGCCATCCAGCTGTACAAGCTTGTCCTAGCTATACCAGGGTCTTCAAAGGGTCATGGAAAAGTTCCATGGCCATTTAACTCCATTTTCTCATTAAAAATGTTAAGTCTCCTTGATCAGGAACACTGGTAGCAGTGGGCTTCTAACCACATTTGACAGTTTGACATCACCAGCCGCTCCTTGGGAGAAAGATGAGGCTGTCTGTTCCTGCAAAGATTCCCTCCCACAGGAGTCGTTCTGCTCTTAGTCAGAATCAGATCCATGGCAGTAAGTTTTAAATCTCTTCTGAGTTTTACAATTCTATAGATCTTGTGACATCTATAAATATGTTCAATAAAATTGGACAGTCTTTAGTTGTATCAAAAACGTGAGGCTTGTGAACTAGGAAGCAGTCTTTCCACTTAAAGGCAAAAATTCAACGAATGACGGTGGTAAAGACCCCAGATGCCCTATTCATATGGGGACAGATCGTTCAGCAAGTGCATCCAACCCAGGGACCATCCCAGGATAGAGCTCCCAAGATGGTGCCCTCAGCAAGAGGAACACGAAAGGCAGGGGAAGGCGAGGCCACAGTAATGAAGAATCATCACAAGCTGGTTCAAAGGCAGAGACTGTAAGACAAGATGAAAAGAAAAACCAAGCTAGAAGCAGCGATATACCAGCTACAGACCACACACTTTAGATTCAAAGATACAAGCAAGATGAAAGTAAAAGGGCGAGAAAGATCTACCATGCACACAGCAATCTTGGGTGAGCTGTACTAAAATAAACCCCCCAAAACAACCCACTGCCACTGAGTGGATTCTGACTCATGTTTCCAGGGCTGAAATCTTTCTTTCCAGGAGCAGGCAAGCTCATATCTCACTCACAGAGTGGCTGGAGGGTTTGAACTATGGTTAGCTTATCCGCAAGCGCTGCCAAGACTCCTCATGTAGTGACTGTAACAAGAGTCAAAATAAGGCTTGAAAACAACAAGGATGTCATTACAGATAAAGAGAGACATTTTATAGTGATAAAAGGCCAATCCATCAGGAAGATGTAAAAATTATAAACAAAAATAAGAAATCCCAAAATATATAAAGCAAAAACTGGACTCTTCTTGATGCCACCTGTTACAACTCCCTGGCATTGAGTCAATTCTGGCTCCTAGTTAGTGTCCCTGGAAAACAGAGTACTCCAAGCCACAGACCCCACTGAACCTGATGGATTTATTTTTTTATCTTTCTTCATTTCACCACACTATTATACAGTTATTTGGCTCCCTCTAGACTGAATTCCTCAAGGTTAAAAATTATTGTCATTTTATATAGTATTTACTAATTTGCTTTTCTTCAACGAACATTATGGGGTATAAATTCGGACTTTTAAAAGTGGATGATCTTTCTCAACTGCTTTCTCCGTAACTACTTTAAGCACGTGAGAGAAGACAAGAACAAGTGATGTACAAAGGGCATGGTATAAAGGACAAAAGGAAAGTGTCTCAAAAGCTTCTGGCCGCATTACCTCTCAGAGCTCAAGAGAACCACTGAACAGCCAGGCTGTATAGGTGAAGTTCAAGGAGGGGGTTCAGAATTTTTCTAAAGTTAGGGTAGAAAGGGGGAACCAATTACAAGAATCTAAGTATTGCCTCCTCCCTGGGGGATGGACAACAGAGAAGAGGGCGGAAGGAGATGTCAGACAGTGTAACATATGACAATAAATAATAATTTATGAATTATGAAGAGTTCATGAGGGAGGGAGGAAATGAGCAACTGATATTAAGGGCTAAAGTAGAAGGCAAAAGTTTTGAGAATGATGAGGGCAACAAATGTACATATGTGCTTGACACAATGGATGTATGTATGGATTGTGATAAGAATTGTACAAGCCCCCAGTAAAATAATTAAAAAAAAAAAAAGAACAACTAAAACAACCCCCTCCCAGAAAAGTGGGTGAAGGGAGATCTCGGTCAGTGTAAGACATGAAAAAAAAAAAAAATTGTTTTATAAATGATCATGGGTTCATGAGGGAGGGAGGGTAGGAGAGGGAGGGGGGAACGAGAAGCTGATACAAAGGGCTCAAGTAGAAAGAAAATCTTTTCAAAATGATGATGCCAATAAATGTACAAATGTCCTTGGCACAATGGATGAATGTATGGATTGTGATAAGAGTTATATCAGCCCCCAATAAAATGATTAAAAAAACAAAACTAATAATAATAATAATTAAAGGCCACACAAATTTTATCTTTATGCTTATTTTAATGAAAAAAATCAAACTGACAGTGTAGGAAGAAGCATCTATTTACTGGGAAACACCTGTGTTGCTGAGATACAAATATTCTAGGTTGAGCAGCTGAGCCCCTGACAAGTATCCACCCTGCCAAGGACCCAGCTCAGCACTCCCCTCTCCTCCCCGGGGTCACAGCGAAACCATCAAATCCCACCTGCACCTCACACTGTGGCTGGGTCCCAAGCTCCCAAGACAGTGGTTTCTAACAAAGGAGAGACCCTAGTGGTACTGAATATGTCAAATGTTTAAAGACAACTTTACCTTTTTCTAAAATTAAATGACACAAATTAATAAGTCAAGTTTCTTTGTTTCCACCTAGAATTTTATCAAGAGAGGATTCTGTCAATTTTTTATAATTACGGTGGCAGTTCTCTGATTAATTTTTAAGAGGAAAGAGAATTACTATCTGATAATAAAAGCCATTTCTCTGTAAATTAAATGAGTAAAGCAGGGGGGGTCTAAGGGAATAAAAGAAAGGGAGAGATCAGAGACAACCAAGCCTTTCCTTAATAATCAACCTTGACCAGTCTTTCTGGGTTTCCTGGTTCCAGAATTCCCTCCTTTGTAACCACTAAACCCCTTAACTCCAGGTTTCAAGCTGTGGGATCAGCACTGGGCTAACCAAAACATTAGCACTTCAAACCCACCAGTCACTCCAGGGGAGAAAGATGAGGCTGTCTAATCACATAATGATGTACAGTCTCAGGAATGCTAAAGAACAGTTGCAAAGTCACGAGTCTGAATCCACGTGATGGTCGTGGCTTTTGACAGCTTATTCTCGAAAAGCATCACCATGGTTTTGCATGCTGCCTGATCTGTACCTCATACTCCCCACACTCTCTGAGCTTACAGAGGGAGGCAATGTAGAAAGTCACATAACTTCTAGCACCTGAGCACCTGGTGGGACAGCAAGATTGTCCTGTGCTATCTTCTTGGAGCCCAAAGTACAGGATGCTGGAATTCCAGACTTCATCACTTAAAATGAGACCTCATTTGAGTATGCCTGATACAATTAAATGAGTTTAATTTAGATGGCAACAAGAAGGCACATGAGAATGATGAAGCGCTGTACAGTGAGTTATATCCTAAGACTCAAAGTTAATCAAAGTTTCTGTGTTTTATTTTGTCGGCATTGTTGGAGTTTTTCATGAGATGAAATCAGGATAGGTAAGTCTACAGGGACAGAAACTAGATGAAGAGTTTTCCGGGTTACAGCCGAGGAGGTAGGGAGGCAATGCAGAGCTGGGAACAATGAGTGCAAGCAGGAAGAAGAGAATCTAAAACTGACTATGGCGATGACTGCACAACTCTCTTTAGTATCTTTAAATTACTGAATTGTATATGTGAATTATATGTCAACAAAAATGCTTTTAAAAAAAAGCTCTTGTTACTGTAGGAGGGTCATCTTAGAAGATAAATATTACATTAAAAAAAGAGTAGACTTTATAGAGTAACTTTAAAGAGTAAACTATTTTCATGAAAACAAAGTGATCCCACAATAGAATGTCAATGAAAACCTGTAGAAATGTTACCAACTTGCAAAAAAATTAAGATACCTCGGCATTGTTATAAAAAGCTGTGCTGTTTTTCTCTTGGACATCTTCCCCTCGTGCTGTAAAGAAAGTGAGAGGGTAGAAATCCTTATGTGCTGGCTGCTTCCCACTGGCCATCAGTTTGCCTTCGTAGAAAAGCTCAGAAGTGTAACTGCAGGAAAACCAAAAAATAAAAGTAGCTGTCAACAATAAAAATTCGTTTCATCCACCAAAAAAGACCACTGTGGATTCCAATAACGCCCATGATTCATTTTAATCCAAAGACCTAATATTTATGATATCAAGATCTTCTCAAAAGAGAACCACAGCAATGGCACAGTAGGCGTTTGATGCAGGGGTCCTCAAACTTTTTAAACGGGGGCCAGTTCACTGTCCCTCAGACCCGTTGGAAGGCTGGACTATAGTTTTTAAAAAAACTATGAACAAATTCCTATGCAAACTGCACATATCTTTTATGAAGTAAAAAAACAAATGGGGCAAAAACACCCGGCTGGCCGGATAAATGTCCTCGGTGGGCTGCACTTTGAGGACACCTGTGGACCATAGCTAAAATGGCCTGATTTTGGTAAGGTGTGCAGACAGATTCAAAGAGAAAAGAAACAGTAACCAGTCGGTCAATACTAGATGAAAACTTTGCTGTATAGGAAATTTGCTAGCTAGTATACTTTCCAAGCTGATATTTTTCTGTATGTGTATCATATACTTATTATACATATGAATCATAAATATGTACACAGGGAAGCAAGGCACACAATTAAAGGGGATTCAAGTCTTCAAGTCCGGCAGTGCTAGCAAATGAACACTCTTCACTGATGAGGCTACCATCTAGTACCTGACTAGGACAAAAACTAGGGGCATCAAAAAGTTCATGAGAAAACTCCTATCTTTTAATTCCATTTCCCATGAATATCTTGAAGCCCCCTTATAATTGCCAGCAATAAGAGATCACATTTTGAAATACTGATAAAAGCCACAGTTAAGACCATTTAAAAAAAAAGAAATCTAACCAATGACTTTCAGAAGAAGCTAAAAGTGTTTTTTCCATGAAAGTACCATCAATGGAGTTAAATTAAACTAAGCTTTAAGGAACCATGCGCTTTTCAGGGGAGGGGAGGTTAGGGCTGGTCAGGAGCAAAAGGGACTTTCCCGTGTTGGCCAGGCTGTTTCTTTGGTTACACAGTGTGTTCAGTTTGTGACTGTTCATGGGGCTGTCCTTTCTAATACAGTCACCTACACAGAAATGAGTATGACATTTCATCGAAACCTTTTAATAACTTTATTATTAAGTCTCATAGGTCTCCCTCTTTCATTTCTTTTAAAAGAGATTCTTTGCAGAGCACTGTCAGAGACTATAAGCAAGCCACTACGTGATTTGTCAACATATTTGTTTAATATTAAAGCTTTGGTTTTTTTTTCAGATTATACGCTGAGTCACAGAAAAATATACACCAAGTCTACTACACCATAAAACTTCCGCTTCTAGAATTGGCCTGTTTTGTAAAAAGTTATAGCTCTGGTGTTTGGAGTACTCTTTGGAAAACATAAAATTAAACATTATTTGCAACACTAGGGACACCTTGTCGTTCTGCTGGGAACAAAGCCCTGTCCTGTCCCTAGCAACAGGCAGAAAGTGTGAGTGGCTCCATGGGCAGCCCACACTTACTTGATGATCGCTTCATGAGAGCGGTAGTTCTCGCACAGAAGGATCCTGCAGGGAAACTCAGCAGGGTAATGCTCGTAGAGTCGATCAAGTAAGGAAACGTGCAGGTTCCGCTCCCTGGCAAACTCGCTGTAAACAAAAGGACTGAGCTGTAACAGACAAACATACAGAGAAAAGGTAACTACATACACAAATGGTACTCTGTCACCCACTTAGAAAAAACTTAGCAGCTGAAACCTCTGGCATCCTAGACCTCAACACGCTCAATGCTGGAGCAAACTGGGCCAGAGCTGTTTGCTGGGAAGAATGCTACTGCTACCCTCCAAATTCCGTATCCATCAGATCTAAACTTTGGTCTATAAAAGTGGCTATAAAAGGAGTAAAAATAAAACTTTGATTCTTTGGTGACATGTTTGTTTCAAAAACAAAAAAACATTTTGAGGAACGAAACTCCTAAAATGGAACTTCTGTAAACCAATGTGTTTCAATGGAAGGCTCTCTTTGATTGTGGAAACGTTCCTAGGTTTGACTTAGAAGCTTTGATGCTGTTTCTGCACTAAGCTTTAAATGAAATAAAACATTTTCAAAGTTTGAGAGACCTTTAAATGATCCATTGATTTACTCCAAGAAGATAATAATGTTTCCAAGGAAAAAGAGCTACTAATACCAAATATCTTTCCATAGTTTTTGAAAATGCTTATCTATCAATTAAAATTGTCATACTTAAAAAATAATTTTACTGCTATCTATAAAGCAGAAGGAGGCCAACGTGTTGAACATTTTCATTTCGGGATCCCCACACAGAGCGAGAACTTCTCCACCAAGATGAGTCAAGAGCTCTCTCTCCAGGATAACACTTCTCTCATTTTAGTGGGGTGAGTCTCTGAGTTTTAGGGGGACCAGGGAGGTGAAGTCAATGATCTCAACTGATTAACTAGTTTAAAAAACAAGACAACCTAAACAAAATAAATAAATTTTTGTTCAATTAGCAAAATAACCCTTTTTAATCCATAAAGTATGAGGAGTTATACTGTGTTATGCCTCTTACTACTAAAGAGCAAAATAAAACTGCTTTAGCAAAAGCACACAAAAGCACACTTTGCTTCTCTTTCTCCTACTCTCTCCTGGATGTCTGAAGAGTTTACAATTCTGAATTAAGTGTGATAGAGAGAAAAAGGTCTCAATTGCAACTCTGTACAACAGATATTTTAATATTAAAAATTATATTTCTCTTTCTTAAGTGCAAGAATGCAAACACATTAAGATCAGGCATGTTGACTATTATTTTTAGTTAAGTTCTTTGTTTCTGATGATACTGAAAAACTAGCCCTTCAGGAAAACAAGTATTACAGACAGGAGTTGGGGAGCTATAGAATGATTAAACAAATAGTTATTTGATAAAGAAGAAATCTAAAATTCTTACAATGAGCAATCAAATTCATAAACTTTACAATTCTAACAATATCAAGCTCTCATTTATTTTCAACTGTCGGTCTAAACAACATCAAAAAGAAAGGGGTAGACCCGGGATTTTCCTACCAGAGGCACCAGTATTTTTCACTAGTTAGAACAGATACATTTGAGGTACTCCAACTGCGCTGTGATACTGTTTCACAGAATGGCCTGAGAAACAAGAGTACTAAAAACTGCAATGTGTTTAAGTTACTTCTAGTGTGAGGACTCAGGGGAACCTACCTGCATGTGGTCTCCAGCCAGGACAATCCGAGTGCTGGCAGTCGCTAACGCTAGAGGCATGATGGTTTCACACTCCATGGCCTGAGCCGCCTCATCCAACAGAATGTGCGTAAAAAAACCTAGAACAAACAGCAAATGCAAACAGGGCCATTTCAGCAGCAATTCAGATAGGGGCTTCTTTTCTGCTAAGGAATTTAAGAGGTTAAGGGACTTTTAATAACAACAGTCAACTTAGACAACTGTTGAGTTCAATCATTATTTTAAAAATCATGGTTTAAAAAACAAAACCAGCCACTTCACTCACTAACAGATCCTGAATGGCATCTGATGCCATTCAAAGTCCAGAGTCCAACAGCTGAATCTGGATATAGAGCAAAGACCTAAAGGGACAAGAGGCGTTTTTTGACCAAAAAATCAGGCTGACAACTAAACATTGATAGCACCCCCAAATCCTTTCAATATTTATTTGGTCAAACACTAAAAATAAAACAATGATAGTTTGTAAATAAGTTTATCCCAAATATGTAGAATGGACCTTAAAACAAAGATCATACCGAGAGCTGAATATAGACAACCAAGTTATAATGTGTAGGGACACATTATTTTAGACAAGTTCATTAAAAAAAAAAAATCAACTTGCGTGTTCATTAACAAATTCACTAATTTATTAATACTTATTTTACTAAAAATATTTATGTATCATTTTTGTTTAAGCTCCTACCCTTAAACAAAAGTCAACATTCTGCAAATATACTAGCTCATAACACATGCCAACAATGTGCATGATCAAATGTCCCCAGATGTAAACACCCACAAGGGGAGCCTTCCAGAAGTACATTCTGCTGTCATTCACAGGAGGGCACCTGGCTCTGCTGGGATAGAGATGCGGTGCATGAGGAGAAGGAAGTCCCCTAGTAAGAGGGTTGTGGGAGAGGCCAAATCCTCTGTGCTGTGTCAGTGCACAGAAAAGGGGAAGATACTGCCAACTTGGGGGACGGGGGGGTGGTGTACATCCCCCCACCACTGGCACTACAAAGGACACTAAGCCGTTTCTCCAAAAACAGAGTTAAAAAGGGATAGTCCCCTACAGTGGCACTGAGCATTAATCACCATCTGTGAGGTGACCCTGAACCTAACCTCTATCTCTATTAATATCAGCAAGTCCCAAACCACATGTTTATATGATTTTCCAATATAACCTGTTTTTAAGTTGGAAACTTTCTAAATCTTGCTCACAGGCACTAACAGCCAGCCTCATTCTCCAGGCAAAAGGGTTGACAGTACAAATATTAATAAGCAAGTTACTAGCTGTTGTCTGTTTACCAGCATTTGCACTTTTGTTCCATAGGACCAATTAGGGAAGACAACCACCATTATCTTTTCGAATATAACACGCCCTTGAAAATAGTGTGTACACACATAAGGTGCATAGTGAGGGTAATAGGAAACCCATGAACAGTGGGCTTTAGTTCTTGTTTGCATAAGAATATAGTATTTGCACAGGATCAAATACACAAAAGGCAGCCACTAGTGAGATCAATCTGGTAATGACATGAGAGAACCTTTTAGCCAAGCAGAGCTAGGCTTGTGTCAGGGACTGCATCAATCATGATGCTGCTTTAGCTATGGCTTCAGCGTGTCACGACAACTTGAATGAATCAAACCGAGTGAGCCCAAGTCGTGGCACTCTTATTTATAAAATGATTCTCCACAGGGTAGATAGGATCAAATGAAATAAGGATTTAAAACATCCCGAATAAACATATACGTAGTCAACTTCGATGAGTATTCGTCATCCGGTGCTCTTGCCATTCAAAGGCATGTTTTACTCTTCCCCAGACAGCTCTACTGCTTAGCAATAGGGGGTGAGGGTTGGGGTGGGGGTGTTAATCTATGTGGCCAAAAATGCAGAGTATAACCAAGTAACAGAGAGATTGAATTTGAAACAGACATGCAAAAAGCACACAGCTCTAAAAAGTGCTGCCTCACTTGGGAGGGAACAGAACGAAGTCTAATGAGGCTGCTTCAGTTTGAACCCACTTTGGCATCTCTGCTTTTGTGACTGCCCCCACAAGCCAGTTGAGCCCCATTTTAGAAAAAATGAGAAGAGGCACGTTTTTTGTTGGGGTTTTTTTAGCCTCTAATGCTGTTCCGTTGCTTGATCACCCACCTCAGTCACCAGACACAGACAGTTCAGAAAGATTTTGAAGCTTTTCTAAAATTAAATCTACCCTCAAAGAGGAAAGTTTGGCCACCACTCATCCCTGTAAGATAAACAGCCGTTTATCACGGGCCTCCAGGTGTCTATGCCCTGGGCCAAGTGCCAGGAATACCAGGTGAGGAGAGGAGTCACTACCTTCGATGGCCTCAGACACTCAAAAGAATTTGTGACTGGCTATGAAAGCAATCGTTTCAGAGGAGAGAGCAGACAATGTTGAGCCATGCCAACAATTACAATATGGCAGAAATAAACGCGAATTCTTCCAAAGCAACGACTGTGAAGTGACACCGCTGTCTGCTAATTATACTCGGCCATATTTACCCAAATACCTTCTTGTCCTTATGTGTCCTCCTCACTATGCTAGTTAGATTTCACATAGTGCCTATGCTTAAATACACTAACCTTAATAATGTCATGAAGGACCTTGTCGCAGTTAAGTCTTTTTGTTACATAATACAAAAACAAATAAACAAACTCACTGCCACTGAGTCAATGCTGACTCCTAATGACCCTACAGGACAAGGTAGAACTGCCCCTGTGAGTTTCTACACCCTGAAGCCTTTATGGGAGTACAAAGCCGCATCTTCTCCTGTAAAGCCACTGGGGACCTTGTGTTTAGCAGCCCATTTCCTTATATAGCGCAAAACCTTCAGAAAATGATAGAAGACACCCATGCTGACTGCATTTTAATCTTTCACATATCCGCAGTAAAAAATCGCAGTAAGGAGAAAACAGAGGTCTAAACTAGGGGTGAGCAAACTTTCTGTCCTGGACCAAATAATGGCTACCTTAGGTTCTGTGGAACCACCCCACCCGTTACAACTAACTCAGCTGCACTAGGGTAGTTGCCATAGTTGCTAAATCTGTAAATAACTATATAGGGCTGTGTCAATAAAATTTTATTTACAAAAATGGGCAGCGAGCCAGATATGGACCATGGATTGCAGATATGCCAACCCCGACCTGAATGGAATATGAAGCCCCTAAACCAGTGAGATGCCATCATGGTGTCCTGAGCCAGCATACCAGGTTCAAGGTCCAACTGACAGAGGTACTGGGAAGTATTCAATGTAACCACCACCACTCGATGTTTGAGGATATCTTCTTTCTGGGGCATCTGAAAGGTGGAATGTGCGCTTGAGATCAAACAGTACTGATGCACGACTGGGTGGACAGTTTTTACCCAGCGGTTTCTGAAATATACCCTATAAAGCAAAAGAAGACATTTCCTCTTTACATTAGCATCTTCATTGTATCTATCATCATTGCTACTGTACAATATCTGAAAATCAACAAGTAACTGTGATAAAGATCAGTATTCTACTACATTAGGATTTAACATACAACTGCCATGATATTTAATGTCACGCCCCCTCAAAAATGGTCACAATTAAGCATTATTATTACATGCACAGATTAATATTGCAATAGACTAGCACACAAACCTAAGTTTCATTAGCATTACATTTTTTACATTCAAGATATTCACATTCTGGGGTAACTTTTTTCAGTATATTCTTACAAAAGCATGCTAACTTCATATTATAAGTACTTATATTAATAAAAAACAGTGAGCTGCATACTTGCAACAAAAATTCATAGCATTTTTCTGTAGAATATATGCTCATTCTAATATTTAAATAGACCTCTGCCTGAATTCTGGTAAATTTTTTAATGTAAATGTTTTTCCATGAGAAATCTTAACAAATAAGCATCTTTTGCATTATCTGCAAAATAAAATGATGAATAGGCCCCACATGGAAGACCAAGATAATAAAGAAAGGCGTCACCCATCCATTTACCCCTACAGAACAAAGTTTTAGTGGGTGCCTTCTACAGTGCCTACAGAGGTAGATGACATATGGCTCTTGAGTCATAAAGGTTTTGGAATTAATCTGAGTTTAATGAAATGTCATCAGAGGGTTCTGACAGGGTAGTCAAAAGACTTAGGTGACTAAATGATCACTCTAATTTTTCTGGTCAGTATACATGGAGGTCCTGGTGAGAAAGAGGAAGGGGGGCCCAGGGAGGCTGGTAAAGGCTAAGAGTAGCCCTGCTTTGTAGTGTTGGTTGATGGCTGTGCTGTCAAACACGCTGCCATCGCTGATTCCAACCGACCAATGTGATAGCCACCGCCCGGTGGGCAGCTTTTCTTACTTGGTGGGGGGTGCTGATATGACACTGGAAACTATGTGAGGCTTTCAAATGCCTACAAAGTCAGCCATGCACACAGGTTTCAGTGGAGCTTGGACTCAGAAGAATGATCTGACCATCTACATTTGAAAAACTGGCCAGTGAAAATCTTATGATGAGTAGAACATTGTCTGTTAAGATGCCGGCACGTAAGCCCCTCAGGTTGGAATACATTCAAAATACAACTGGGGAAAAGCTGCCTCTTCTCAAAGTAATAACTCACTGCCATAGAATCAATTCCAACATCAAGGGGCCTATTAGGACAAGACAGGACTTCCCCCACGCCCCCGGGGGACTTCTGAGACTATAAATCATTATAGGAGTAGAAAGCCTCATTTTTCTCCCATGGAGCAGCTGGTGGGGGGTTAGAACTGGTGAGCTAGTGGTTAGCTGCCGACCTTGTTAACTCACTATGGCATCAGGACTCCTCAAAGTAGAGTGGGCCTTAATTTACATGGATGAAGTACAGCTTTCCCAGACCTTAATTTACTGATGTAGTCTAATTCAAAATTAGAAGAAACCGTTGCAAACATCCAGTAATAACAATAATGTACAGTGTGCAAATTACAAAAGTAGGAAAATTAGAAGTCTTCAAAAATTACAAGGAACACATAAAGATTCTAGTAAACTGAAATGGACTGGTAGTGGCCTCTTTGAATCATGCAACCATATGGTCTACTAAGCCAGAAATGCTAAACTGAAGAGGAATATGTCACGTTCAGCATCAAAATGAACACTTCAAAAAAAATTCTCAAGTGAGGTATAGGATGCCTGGTGGGCCTTGATCAAGGACAATGTAGCCAAGAGGAATTACTAAAACCCAAATGAAGGCCAAACATGATAGTGGGACAAGAGGAAAGTTAAAGGAAATAGAGGAAAGAACTAGGAGGCAAAAGACATTCATAGAGGTCTAAATACAGGTGTGTACATATGTAAATATATACAAGGATAGAGAAATAGATCTATGAATATATAATTATACGTTAAGTATTAAGGTAGCAGACGCACATTGATCCTCTACTCGAGTATTCCCTCAACACAAGAACACTTTGTTCTAGTAAGCTGGCATGCTGTGATGTTCACCTTCCCAACATGATCGCTGAAGACAATGGGTGCATAAGCAAATGTGGTGAAGAAAGCTGATGGTGTCCAGCTATCCAAAGATATAGTGTCTTGGGTCTTAAAGTTCTGAAGATAAATAAGCAGCCATCCAGCTGAGAAGCAACATAGCCCACATGGAAGAAGCACACCAGCCTGTGTGATCACAAGGTGACGATGGGATCAGGTATCAGGCATCAAAGACCCAGCCCAAAACCCTATGCTGGGAGTGCAGAGTGGAGATCCAAAGCCCATCTGTAGACAACTGAACATCCCCTTGCAGAAGGGTCACAAGGAAGAGATGAGCCAGTCAGGGTGCAGTATAGCACCGATGAAACATGCAACTTTCCTCTAGTGCTTTAATACTTCCTCTCCCTACCCCCAACACGATCCCAATTCTACCTTAACAAATCTGGCTATACCAGAGCATGTACACTGGTGCAGATAAGAGCTGGGATCCAGGATAGATAACCCCTCAGGACCAATAATGAAAGTAGCGATACCAAGAGGGGAAGGGGAAGGTGGGGGGAGAAATGGGGAACCGATCACAATGACAGACATACAACCCCCTCCTAGGGGGACGGACAACAGAAAAGTGGGTGAAAGGAAACATTGGTGTGTGTAAGACATGGAATAAATTTCTTTTATAAATTATCAAGGGTTCACAAGGGAGGGAGGGTGGAAATTAGCTGATATCAAGAGTTCAAGTAGAAAAAAAATGTTTTGAAACTGATAATGGCAACGTATTATGTACAAATGTGCTTGGCACAATGGTTGGATGTATGGATTGTGATAAGAGCTGTACAAGCCCCCAATAAAATGAATTAAGAAAAAAAATCCTCAAGCACAAATAGTCATTGATATATAGGGATATATATATATATCCCTATAAAGAAGATCAGATAATAAAACTATTGATCAAATTTATGTACCAAGTACTAATGCCAAAGATGACATTTTTTCCAACTTTTACAGGCTACCGTTGATCAAGCATGTAGTAATCCAGATGCACTTATAATTACTGGTAATTGGAAACAAGAAGGTTAGGTAGCTGGAAAACAGTTGGTAGTTACAAGAAAATTGCCAAAAGATATTTTCAACAATATAAACAGTAACTATCATGGAGATCCTCACCATCTGAAATACGCAGGAATCAAACTCACTACTTTTTTGGAAAGAGATGATGGGGAAACTTGGTATTGTTATTCAGAATAAAGTTAGGGCCATCTGCAAAACAGGCCATCAGTTTCTCCTAAGCAAGTTTAAGGTGAAGCTAAAAAAAAGTGAAAATCAGCCAAAGTACAACCTTGAGCATATCCCACTTGAATTTAGAGATCATCTCAACACAGATTTGATGCAATAAAATAATGACCAATGATCAAGACAAGTTAGTTGTAGGATGACATGATGTATGAAGAAAGTAAAAAGTCATTTAAAACACAGGAAAGGAAGAAAACCAAAATGGATGTCAGAAGAGATTCTAAAATTTGCTTTTTGGGGGAGCAGGGAGGGAGGGGGGAAATGAGGAGCAGATGTCAGGGACTTACGTGGAGAGCAAATGTTTTGAGAATGATGAGGGTAATGAATGGTACAAATGTGCTTTACACAATTGATGTATGCATGGATTGTGATAAGAGTTGTATGAGCCACCAATAAAATGATTAAAAAGAAACTTGCTCTTAATAAAGAGCAGCTAAAGTGAATGGAAGAAAAGATGAAGTAGAAGTGAATAGACCAGCGGTTCTCAACCCGTGGGTCGTGACCCCTTTGGGGGTCAAACGACCCTTTCACAGGGGTCGTCTAAGACCATCGTAGAAAACATATTTCCGATGACCTTCTGGAACTGAGACACCACTCCTCTATCCATCTCCAGTCTCCGGGGGCAGGAGGGGGGGGCTGGAAATCCGCCCACATACAGATAGGCTGATCTGTTGAGAAAGAAGTTATCTCAACCTTCACACTGATGTCGGCTTGTTACGCATACTGTCACAAAATGTAGCAATGTAATTTACTGCTGTTATATTAAGACTGTTAGTCATGCTACACCATTGCTTCAAGACAAAATTTCATTTGTTATTACAAATAAATATTTCACAATTACATAGTTTTTGTGATGAATCACTATTGTTTAATTATGTTCAATTTGTAACAATGAAAATACATCCTGCATATCAGATATTTCATGATGATTTATAACAGTCGCAAAATTACAGTGAAGTAGCAAAGAAAATAATGTCATGGTTGGGGGTCACCACACATGAGGAACTGTGTGAAAGGGTCGCGGCAGGAGGAAGGTTGAGAATCAGTGGAATAGATGATTTCAAAGGGTCCCTTGAGGGGACAGAGTACAGTATTAGAATGAAATGTGCAAAGGCCTTGAGTAGAAAACCTAAAGGGAAGCACATACTTGGCATTTCTCTAGCTGAGAGGTCTGGGAGGGAAAAAATCCAAGCATCAAGTCGCAATATAGGATTTTAAGGGGAAAGAATATTGAATGATGCAGAAAGCATCAAAAGAAGATGAAAGGATTATATCGTCACTGCCTCAAAAAGAACTCGTCAAAGTTCTACCATTTCAAGAGGTATTTTGGGATCAAGAACTCATGGTATTGAAGGGAAAAGTCCAAGCTGCACTAAAGGGATAACTGAAAAATAAGGCTCCAGGAACTAATGGTACAGGAGTTGAAATGGTTCAACAAACATACAGTTAGCTGGGCAATTGACTGGAAAACATCTACATCTGTGCCCAGTCCGAAGAAAGGTGACTCAACAGAAGGCAGAGACCAGTGAACAGTATCACATGCATGTAAAATTCCGAAGATAGTTAAAAAATGGCTGCAGCAGTGCATCAACAGGGAAACTGCCAGAAATTTGAGGCAGATAGAAAAGAGGTTGTGGGATGAGAGATGATCAGT